CTGTTACCGGGGGTGAGTTACTGTTACCAGGGGTAAGTTACTGTTACCAGGGATAAGTTACTGTTACCAGGTGTGAGTTACTGTTACCAGTGCAGGGGTGAGTTACTGTTACCAGGGGTAAGTAAATGTTTTATGTTACCATGGTTATGGAAGTTTCAAAACTTTGCCCTAAATTACGATTTCCATGCTAGTGGCTACAGTTTTGGTAGATGAGAACGATCTGGTATGGTGTAATGTGTTTGTACGACTATGATATAATATTGTGGCTGAAAGAACCTCATGAGCCATGTGTAAGCCAGTCATCTGGCTATTCTGTAAATGTAAATGCAGCTCATAAACTTAGGGATTAAGAGTACGTCATTAATTACACGCCTTTATAGTCTTTAATTTACAAGTACTCAATATGTGGTATTCTTAGCTTGGCGCCAGACTGTGTTGGGTTTCTGTTTGGTTTGGTTGAAATTGTTAGCCTCGATTAAATGATACTTTACTTTACATTATGCTAGCGTGCCAATTTGAACTTGAGTATTACTGCTGCTGGTAAATGTTCAAGTACGACTCAAGGAATTTGTCCACATCTCTGAAAAACAAAAAATAAAAGTTTAAATTTGCACCTCAAGACCGTTGCCCTCGAGCAATAGATTGAAAGCTGGTAACATATTTACAGGCGACAATAATATCACTAGATATTCTCTTAAAAGTAAGTGGGTATTTACCTCGTATTAAGTAACGTTCTACTGAGTGTTCCAGGGTTTGAGGGTTTCTTTTTTAATGTACCACTCAATTACTGGAACAAAATTTTGTCGCGGTATTTGCGGAATTAATCGAGATTTATTTCATCTCCGCGACAGATCGTTAAAAAATGTAGATCAGTGAATGTCTTAGTTTATTTACCGCGAATTCACGGTAAATAGCAATATTCGATTCACGATATTTCAAGTATTTATTGTTAACCTTCGGCAATTCGGTTTCCCAATTACCATGCCCGAATTTTGCCCGAGGTGTGCCCGAGGTTTGCCCGAGGTGTGCCCCAGGTGTGCCCCAGGTGGTTCTGCCCGAGGTGTGCCCGAGGTGTGCTTTGTGCCCGAGATGTGCCCGAGATGTGCCCCAGATGTGCCCTAGATGTGCATCGGCAGATTACCGAGTTACCTAACCTTCGATCGAAAGTTAAACTTAACCTGACCAGATATTAAAAATGTGACAAAATGTAACGTGATAGGATTATTTCGTGATGCTTGAAGGTAATTTGCATTATCATTGACATTTACATTCTGTGACAATCCTCCAATATTATTATTACACCATCAAAACAGGGCAACGTTATTTTATGCTCGGGTACTCTCTCGATATTTGAGAGAGCCTGCCGGCTCTGGCACCATTTAAATGTGACAAAAATGGCAATGGTGGCAAATTGTGCGATTCTACACCTTCCTGACGTTTATTGCAAAATCACTCCTAAAATATACGGCAAATTGTGCAATTCTGGAACCACACCACAACTAAATGGTGCCTGTTTGCCGGCTGGTACGTGCTCATGATGCTTCTTACTTTGACAGAGTTAGACTTAAACAAATTAATAATAATAATATTAAAGTGTTGGTAACTTTATAACTGGAGACCTTTCTAAATACAATTTGTTATTTTGCATCACGAATTTAGCCACGAATTTTTTTGTTGCGAATCAACCGCGAATGTCGATTTTGTGGCCACAAGATTTTGTCCTTGCTCCATTAAGTTTAACACATTTAGTTCATGTGTTATAGAAATCAAGAAGACCATTTTGTTTGCTCCTCAGTTATAATTCTCAGTCAGACCCACATGATGTGAACCAATTACATTTATTCTTCCGCCTAACGAGCACAGGGTATTTTAATTAATGATAACTAATTTAGCTAATTAACTAATTTAGCTAGTAATTACTGGCAAGTGTCTTGAAAAATCCTCGGTACTCTCAAGTTAATGAGGTTTAATAATACAACTAAACTGATTAAGATCAGCGAGCAATTATCTCCATTAGAGTCATTCTGATTACAATACTGATTACTTGGTTTCAGGGACAAATCTTATCTGAACCATCTCTAATCTATCTACTATCATCATGTTGAAGTTGTGCTGCATGCAATAAGAATCTGCCCTCCTGAGTCCTGTGTTCAAGATTGCACGATTGGCTAGTCTAATAATGATCCAAACCTCTTTTATATTCGTGGTGGTAATCTCGTCGCTTGAGAATCTACATTTAATCGATAAAGCTGCATGGAAATTTCTAAAAGTTGATGCTTTTTCCGTCAATCTGTCAGGTTCGGCTGAAATAAAATCATCGTCTCTGTTTTAAGAACAGTACCATGATTATTGCTCAATTAGATAAATTATTATTATCAGTAAAACGACGTTGTCTGTAAGTTTTCTAGATTTAGGCCCAAAACTAACATCGATGAATAATTCCTGAACTAATCTCTGTTCAGATAATTTTTATTTTCAATGAGCTCAGCTCTTCCAACATTCTGACAGTGCACACACAGTCTGGGCTATGATAACACGGATATTTTCCTGTACTAATCCTAATAACATATCTTCTAACCGCAGTAAGTCTTTCCAAAGAAGACCTGCTATTCAAGTTTTCCCGGGAACTACACTTCTACAACTGGATTGTTAATGTTAGCCAAGTTTATGATTTAAACATCATTTATGAGTCCCATTTGTTCTCCCAATTCGATTGTACGTGTCTTCTGCTGGCGCCGAATATTTTTAATGTCTCCATTATATAGTCATCATGAGTTAACATAGCAACTTGTAACGCTTGTAGCACCGGATCATAAGAAGGAGCGTTACACTCTGCTCCGTAGGTACATACCGAACAAAGGCCCTTTATAATTAGTTTATTGTTATTGTAGCTCCGAGTGTTGGAATTGTTGATTATTAACAATAAATTCCTCAATTGATCAGCTAACATTTATAATCTTCAAGCGTTTCCAAATTGTTTCTACTCTTGTTGTTTCCTTTCTAGAGCTCAACATAGTGTTGTAGCTTTTGTTCAAATCATGACAGATAAGTTCTCCAACTGCTCGAGTAAGTTTGCTGGAAGATTCCAGAATGATGACTGAAAAGCTACAAACAGTCGTCAGTCTGCTGCCCTCCTGCTGGTCTACCATATCGGCAATGATTTATATCAGGTTAAATGCAACTAGTTATGGTCAACGGGGGCATTTTGAAATGATTGCTTCGATCTCATGGCTTAACATTCTTATCTGGCACATTTTAAGGTTTTTACAGAATTTTGGCAAACACCTTAAGGGGACATACACCAAAACCTTTTTTGCCGGGACCAGGGATTTGACTTTATATTATGAAAGTATAGATAAGATTACAACTGTAAGATTTGAGGCATTGAACAAATTTTTTGAGAGTACGCACATTCGAAAAAAAAATTATTTTCTTTTTCGAAAGGTTTGGACATTTTGGACATGTCACTGTAATACCGATATTTCAGTCATTTTAAACGTTTTTTGGCTGATTTATTTACCGAATATTATTTTACCGATCACCCAGGTCAAGCGATATCTTATGACCTGGGTGATTGGAAAATATACAACTTTGATTTTTTACAAAAATTTCAATTGTCCTCTATTGTTTAATTACAAAATCCTTTGAAGGGCTTCTTGTACGGACTGTAAATAATATTCAGTAAATAAATCAGCCAATAAACGTTTAAAATGACTGAAATATCGGTATTACAGTGACAGACTTCTCAAAATTTCCAAAACTTTCGAAAAAGAAAATAATTTTTTTTGAATGTGAGTACTCTCAAAAAATTTTTTCAATGCATTAATTTTAAATCTAACAGTTGTACTCTATACTTTCATAATATGAAGTCAAATCCCGGGTCCCGGCAAAAAAAGGTTTGGTGTATGTCCCCTTAAGTAAAAGCATATCATATTTATTTATATTGATAAAAATAACGAGTTTAAAATTCCTAGTTGGTTCGTGCGCACTAAACGCACTTTTAGTTTTAAAACCGAACGCACTTAACGCACGAAAATTTTTTTTAAACGCACTTTTTAAACTGTTTTTAACAAATCAGTATTTAGTACGTGGGCTCGCCAGAATACTGCACGTGCGTGAACTAAAGTCTAAAACTACGCCGCGCAATGGATCGTGTTTTAGTTGATCACTTCTCTTTGTTACGCACCGTCTGGCGAGCTCCTGCGTTTGCAGTCATAAAAGATTTTTAATTGTTTCCAAATGTAAAGGCAGACGCACGTAACGCACTTTACCGCACTTAAACGCACGAAACCAACTATTTAAATTTTAAATGGTTAAAGACGGAGAATTAGATTGAATTTCAATATACCATCAGTTTGTATGATTGAGTTATTATGTCCAATTGGAAAATTTGAAATTAATCCTCAATTGCACCTCACTGAAGAAGAGGCAAAACGAATGAAACTTAATCCCATAATTAACCCCATCTGCAATCTGCATGATTTATGCCATATCTTGGACGAACTGCCGAATTTCATATTTTCCACGGATAATCGGCCTAAGATTAAACGGGCTAAATTTATCGTACACGTACGAGAAAGATGCCGGCTGGTAAGAAATTGTGTGGATATGTAATTCATTGCCGATGAGGTAGACGATATTTTGCTGCTCTTTATAAATTATAATGTATCAGGAATGAATACCTGAGCTCGCGATTTCTACCGGTTCTTTGCAATTTCATAGAATTCATGGTGAGCATTTTACTGATCATGCAATATTTTGTCTTGCTGTTTGATGATATATCGTGCTCTGTGCACTATATTTACAACAACAGCAATTAAATGGTAGTTGTATCTGTACTGCAGCTACACCGCACATTGGGATATCGTTGGTTTGTTATTCCGTCTGTAAGTACCCATGAACAACTCCACCCGGGGAGACTTGATTCTACCTCTAGATCCGCTGTGGTTACCAACATGTTGTAACTCTCTCCAAATTTGTAATGTGTTTCAGAGAGGTCGCAAATTATTTTTGGATTACCCGGCCAAATTACCAGATCAAGGAGTCAAGGAAACAGTCTGTTTCCTAATTTAGCTTCTTTCTTTGTTCCAAACTCCAGCCTTTGTGCTATCAGATTCAACTTTCAAAAGATTCATGTCTATATCAGCTGGTTTCCATTTCTCTGTAAATTATGAGCTGTAATATTTGGAACCGCAACCGCGGGGAGACTCGGTTCGATGAGGAGACATGTTTTAAAACGTGCTCATTAAATTCATACCTACAGCACAATCAGAACAAGGACGACATGACGTTTAAGCATCCAGCTATTTTTGAACATTATATACTCCTTCCCTGGGGTTATGTTATATTTTAACCGAGAATTCTGGTCAAATTCTTGTTAGTCACGGTCGAGCGGGTTTTATTGCTTTTCATTACCCAATATTCGTACTTGACTTTATGAATTTTGTTTCAATCTCAGAAATTTACAGCACTACCCAATACATTTTATTCTCCTAGCGAATATTTAAAAATAAATGTAACGTGTAAACGACATATTTTTTTCTGCAGTCGGTGATCGCCTCATTTTCAACGTTACATCGATAAACATTTAAACATTTAAAAAGTTACCCTCTACCATATTCTAACCCCTCTGCTCCAGCTTGACATGTTACATAATATAATACATAATATCGCTCCTCTCCTGTAGCCGTGTGACCACATGAGCTCCAGATGTTCTTTTATTATTTTCCATCAGCACACCAGCCGCTCTGTGATGATATTTTATCGGGGCTTACTTTGCGAGTAAATTATCTTACGTATGCTTTATTTCAGTTTTATAAATTACCAACTCTAATCTAGTCCCGTTTGTGTTGTTCGTTAGTTATTTCGCTACCTGAAGAGTTTGTGTCGGAGCTGAAGCTTGGGGATAAAGATGGCTCCTGATAAAGAGCACCTGAACGCTCTTTGTGACGCTATCTGCCACAGTAAGTTCAGCTCAACTTCCACGAGGAACAAGTGCTCAGTGCATTGTACTTCTTATTACAATTTAATGTACAGTAAAGTAATGAAAATTGTACTTCCAAGAAGTTGTTATGAACCTCAAGTCATTGCCCCGAGCTATTAAGTGCTATTCCTCAGGAGCGCCATTTAAATTATAATTGTTGTGTCGATCGTGGGAATTTTTTTATTAACTTTGCTATAACGTTTTGATATAAATAAAAGTGCTGTATGCAGAAATAATAATCTTTGGTACATGGACCGGCCGTAATTTAAATGACCTCCCCATAATAAGTAGCTAATTTAATAGAAGTCTACTCTATCACACAGTCCTGTAATAACAGGTGGTCAATGTTACTGATTGAATCTAGTCTATAATTTCAGTTAGAACTTCAGAACATTTAACTTCAGTCAGAACATCAGAAATAACCAGCCAGGGCCCTCCAAACGGTAAACTTTGTCCATTATCGTGATTATAGCAAGTATGCCAAGCCTTGTGTGACTGATTTCGATGATTGTTGCACAGCACACTTAACTTGCTACTGATCGTCGATTAAAGGATTAACTATCCCAACTAGAAGCAGCTCCATGCTCCAAACCACACTAATAAAGTTTTGAAAACTTTCTTAACTTTCACAGTCACCCCCATAATCAATAATCATACTGTATGTTGATTCTCTCAACTGTGTTTTGACATCTCTAACTTTTTTCCCCATTTTGTGACTAAATTATGCGTTTTTTCTAATATTCTTATGTATCTTGTTCTTATGGAATTTCTTGTTAATGAATTTCATCTTTTCTTAATGGTTAAAATCATGCCATTTGATCATTGATGTTTCGAGGCCTCTTGCAGTACCATTTTGATCATAAAACGGTTTAACTTCTCAGAGTTTAAAAACGAAGTAAATTTGGCGGCCAGGTTCTTAAGCAGTTTGTTAAGGGTAGTTACATGCCAGGAGAAGTTTCAACTAATGAGAAAACAGTGTTCACAGCACGTGACACAAACCAACGAATCAGAGCTCAGTATCCACAAGAGTAGTGATCATCAAGATTCTAAGACTACACCCTGATGAACCATATTCTTGGAACTTCCGAGGAAATGACATCCTGATTAGTTCCACCAATTACTCAATCAGTCTAGAGATATCGGGTTATAAGTACAGTAACAGTTCAGCTGTGTGAGCCACAAATATTATATTACATGTGCTGAAAAGATTGGCTCTGGTACGCTCTACACTTCTACAGTGACCCACAATCCCGGATTACATTTTAGTTTACAGTCTCAGTTGAACTTAAACTCATTAAAGTGTTTAAAACACAAACGACCAAACGTATCATTATCAGGAGATGAGTTCTTATTAAGTTATTATATCGACACTGCCCACACTATTCACTAACCAGTATTAATTTAATAAACATATTCCTAAATTTGTTATAGCTTTTTTCTCAATTCAGCGACAGTGGAAGAATGTCGCTGCATCATTCCTTTCGGAAAATGTTTTTTTTGGTGCATAGCCATAATTTGTCAGTTCATATTTGCTAAAAGTGAGCCCTTTTCTTTAATTCCTAAATTATTCATCAGGTATAAATAGTATCATTGAGTATCACCCCAACTAAATATATGTGATCCTCCTTCTCCTATAATCCGAGGTAGTATATTAATTCAATAAATTCACTCAAACAACCCAACAACCATGCCGACAAGTTGCAGTTTAGGTTCCTAATTGCTGAGTTTTCAGAAGCTAATATTAGCTTCTGAAAACTCAGCAATTAGGACTCCCTGGTTGGGGGGGGGGGGGGGGGGGGGGGGGGGGCAATGGTATAAAATGCTCCCCCCGCCCGCGCCCCCCCCCCCCCCCATCTCCCACGGGTAGTCTACCACTCCCGGATGGGTTCAATCCCGTTGGATCCGCCTCCGGATATAACAAGAACTTAATCAAATAATCGAACCAATCCAGTATATGGGCGTTTTGCTAAGATAACGATTAAAAATAACAGTCATGACGCAGCATTATTATCCGTCTACACTAAACACGGTAGAGTCATGTTATGAATAATAAAATAAAAGAGTTATTATCCGGTTAAAGATTATTTATTTGATTATAAGATCGATTATTGATTGATTGGTTAGACAGGAAAGAATTAAAGAGGGGTTGGCTCCTTTTTTATTAACGCAGTCATACAATTAATTAATTACAATCGTATAGATAATGAATTGATTTGCCATTTTAAAACTCAAATTAAAGCCATTTTAATCTAATATTCAGACATAAATTATCCATTTGAAGATTAGATTAAATTTACTTCACTGTATAGTAACCTTTAGCTTTTAGAGGTTCTTGATTTCCTGCCAGCTATATTTGCCGGAAAAAATGTGACATTATATAGTAAAGAGTAGGTACTACGTATAAAGCAATGATTCTCAGAAACCAATAAATCATAATTGTTGAACTGTCCCTGATCGATTTTAAAATAAATAATTACAATAATCATGATTAGCATTGTGGTGAATATTAAAGTAAGATATATAGTTAAAGACTTTAATTCTTATTTTTTAATGATTTAGACTATGACTCTTAATTTATTAGACTCTATAAGATGGAATCAACGTATATTCAGATTTCAGAATTGATATTTAATGGGCGCCACTGAATAACAAAACAAAAGGTTCAGAGGTTCTACAGAAATTTCTCGGCGTACAGCTAATTACTCAACCAGGAATTGCCAATCGTTGTGCAATGAACAGTAGCTGTTTTCAATTATAAATATCACATCCTCTCCACATATACATGCTATTCCGTGCTTAATTAAGTATCGGGAAATTCGTCGTTGTTACGAGCAGACGCTTCTTAGTTTCGTAATGAACTAAAATTCTAAAATAATTGATTCATAACTTCAGAATTGATGAATAACTCCATTCGTTTGCATAATATTTATAAATATATAAATAAATAATAATATACAATTCAGCTTATCTAAGAATATTCAATACTTCGTATATTACATTTTCGTCAGCCGATATTTAACCTAAAATGCCCGTCCCTGATACCTGAATAAGCAATTCAATACTGGTAATGAGTTTTAATGATAGTTAGTTTGTCAGAAGCATTGGTCGGTGGTTCGTTTGTCAGCTTCATTTACCCTTGTAGACCAGCCTTTTAGTTTACCACAATCAGACGGAAACACGAAACACACTTTTTCCATGCATTTATATTACTGTTGTTTTCCTGGTTGAAATTGTTTCTCTACATTGAGCTATTAAGTGTGAACTAGACATTGTAGGACTTTAGGAGACCTCAACTAATCATATCGGGACTGCCTAATCTATCTTTGCACGTTATTAAATTGTACCTACTTGCCTTGGTGCTGCGTTGTCGAGGTTACATTGTCGCCAATATTGCTAATACGCTTCAAATTTCGATTGCTCTTTGAAGCTTTTGTATATAGCAATGTAGGAATGTTAGGAACATCAACTGATGGAGTCTTTCGTAAACTAATATAAATATATATGATCATATTGGCACTGTGTTGATGTTACTTTGGTGCTAATTTGGTGCTACTTTGGTGCTACTTTGGTGCTACTAAATTGTTCTGCAAACGATTATGAGTGATAAGTGCCTTTGAATGGTGGTCGTCAGTTGTGATTGAACTGCTAAATTCGTAACACTACCTAGTAGGTACCTACCTATTATAGGTCGGCCACTTTCAAGGAACAAAAATTAAGCATAAAGGTGCAAGAAAGAAATTTCTCCAGTCTTAAAGTCGGCTTTAAACCAATTTGAGGTGTCGGTTTATCGTTTGTGTTATTGATCTTCAGAGAATGTTTTGTTTATCAGGTATGCGGAAAGTAATGAGGTTCCGTAATCTGTATCTGATATCCACGCTGCCAGATAAATTACAAGCAGGAAACCAGTTATAAATTTCCTGGAAATCTTGAAAACTCAATTTCTTATTTCGTTAATAAATCGTTTGTATGTGAGTCCTACAAGTGCTATCGCTATCAGTAAAGCAGTAAGATCTTCCGTTACGTGAGCATATCCCGTGAGGTCTATAATTAGTTTCATACTACTATATATTATTATCAGTATTATATATTATAATCTACATAAATAATAATAGTATCCAGTAGAAGGAATAATATCCCGTATTAATTCTAAAAATGCACCTTTGATCACAACGGGTCGGTCTCCAACCTCTAATCACTGATATAATTATAGTAACGCGTGTCAGTCTTAACGGTAACGCAAATTTGATAACGCTGGAAACTGGTGTGGTCTCTTGTACCACAGGTTATATGATAAGTTTCAAGTGATATCGTTCATTTGTCTTGAGTATTCGGGAGTTTGTGTCATGGTGTGTTCCGTATCAGATAATTTAGGAGGGCAACCTGTTGGTCATGCAGGTGAGTGGGTCAGGTTAAAGTTACCGATTTTATCTCCAACCTGAACGGTTTTAATTTAGCGTGCATGATTTGATTAATTTTTAACCGTGGAAATTTTAACTGATTAGGTATCTTGCACGCTGTTAAACTGTACCGATGTTACAACCTGGAAGCTGTTATTTTTAGAATAATTCATTTGGTTGTTAAAGTTAAACAGTAAGATATTTAAGTAAAAATTACTATAAAAAGTCACTCTATGTTCTGCTTTTACTTTTTAGTAAGTTTTCTATTAGTGATTTACTACATCTGTTTAATTTAAACCAAAGAAGTTGAAAAACTTATTGCCTAGCTTCATATCCCGAATCTCATTGTTGTTGTTATCGGTCATTAGTAGATACATATCTCACAGCGACACAATTATCATATCAAATCCTGGCACTTTCTGACTGACTTAGATATCTTGTATCTCAGATCATGATATCTGCACAACAATGCTGTGTAAATCTAACCGAGGGTATTATATTTCAGGTGCAGCAGCTCACAACGGAGACTCGAATGGGTTCGACTTGATGACCTGCATTGATCCTGCGTTCCAAGGAGTTGGTCAGATGGCTGGTGTAGAAATATGGAGGATAGAGGTAAGATTACAATGTTTATTTCTATGTATACTATACTGTTACACTGAGTGCTTATATAATACAATCCGGGTTATTGAATGTTGAACAAAGCCTTTGTGACTAATAATAGCTGCTCCACAGTCCCCTTTAAGACTAATACTTATTAACACTTAAGGCATAGTTGCTAGTTAGGGCATTATGAATATTTGCCCATCAGATCTTCTTTTACAACTCTTTTGGGTGGTTTCTGGGACTGTGGACAACACCTTCATGCCCAGAAATACTTGTGGCATATTAGTTCTCTGGTGATTATATAATTATACTTATTGTCCATAACTATCACGGTTACATTCACAATCTTCAATAGTTAGCTCAATGAGGCGTGATATTGAATGCGCTGGTCGATCTATTATAATAATAATATCTGTGATATTTGTAATAACTGACAATTTATAAACTAGCCTATCTAGAGATAATACACTTTTGATTACTCGGAAGAATATCCTGGTAACATATTATGGTACTCTGGTATGGTGGCGTGATAAATAACATTTGAATTTAGATGTTTACTTAGAAAATCCGGTATTATGATTAAAATCTCTGGAGCCATTCGGGTTAGTTACTGTAAGAAGGATTCTTGTAGGTCAACTGCGTTTCTGTGTAGTCATGAAAAGAGTAAGAAAATGCTAAATTCGATTCTTAACCATAATACTGGATGCATGTTAGTAGGCAGTCATTACAGATTATTATTGTTCAGTCGCAACGCAAGTACTATTTATTTATTTTACAATTCCTCCTCATTCGATCTGCCACCCCCCACTAATCCTATAGATCTCCCCGGCATCATCTCCTTGGCGGGTTGCCACACCCAAGAGACAGGCAAAGCATTTACATGCTATCCTCTTGTGGGCCATCCAGGTTCAGCCTTTCTACTTACCTGCAAGGAGATTTAGGTATCTTGTATCTTCGGTCTTATCAGCTCAATTATTGTGCTTGCATGCATGTCAAGATCCTGATACCATTCACCACATCGTTCATTTAATTAGAATTATGACTGTAGTATCGATAACCATTGTTCCAAAGCCCTTTTCTTGAGTGAACTATTGTGGTGTTACTCAAAACCGAACACAGCAAGAACGTTGCTGATACAAATCTAAACTTCAGTGAACCAACAAAATAAAATAAGGCAGTTGTAAACAATTAGTAGACTCCACTCTGTTTAAAATCTTGATACATCTTTTACAAGCAAGAGCCAACCTTAGAGAGAATATCTTCGATCAGATTTGCAAGGGTTTCGCTTGACCGTCCTTTTTCCAGTTTCCGCTCTCATAAGCGATTCATCAAGCGCTTTTTCCATGGGATTTATTTTCGTTGACTTACATATTGCGTAGTCTGAACTCTGATATCATTGTGGTTATTCAATTTCTCGAAGCTGCAAGATTTCGCAGTTTTTATAAATTCCTCATGGGTGCGGATAATTATATTTATATAGAATTAAAATAGAATTAAATTCTATGTACCAAGCACTTAAGGGCTGTTCCAATCTATAAATCAGTTTTATATTGGAGAAACTATTTTAATTCAGTCTCACCCAGGGTATCCGTATAGGTTATAAGATTTCAGTGATGTTTTTCCGTTTATTAATGCAATCTCGGAAGGCAGGCCTCCCCTTTGCCTCCCCTTCAGCCGGATATCCGGTCGGTTCATAATATGGTAATTGATAAAATACAGTTGTGGAACACAAGAAGAAAATTGAGAATAATCTTGTGCACGAGGGTAGCCGGTGGGGACCCAGATGTCGTTTCTAACCCGAATAAACTGTAAGGAGGCTTCTCATCAGTAGCCGCACCTAGCTCCTTACTCGGTTTCTGAACTGGAATTCATGAGCTTCGCGCTTTCAGACGGCCAGACCGAGTATTACCATCCCATCCTTCTAGTATAGAGTTCATCACAAGTAGCACCCACCTTGAAGATCTTTGACACCCAGACACCCCATTGGCGAAAAAACTTTGGATATAATCCTACATGCTCCCGAAGGAATCCTGGTTTATGGTCTTTCTCATATATTAACTGCACACTGATAATTACCTTATCAGACTTTATTTGGACGGATATTAATTGAACGCTGGGGGCCCTAACGTTCATCTTAATGTCCGTACATTTCTTTTGCTTGTAATAAAATATATAAACTGCACACTGATAATTACCTTATCGGACCTTATTTGGACGGAAATTAATTGAACGCTGGGGGCCCTAACTTTCATCTTAATGTCCGTTAAAATAAAGTCCGTTCATTTAAGGCATAGTTGGTTCGTGCGTTACTTTTCCAGGAAAAGTGCGTTTATAGTTCGTGAAGATTTTTTCGTGCGTTTAAGTGTGGTAAAGTGCGTCTGCCTTTACATTACGAGGTTTACGAATTAAAAAATGACAAAATTCTTCATTCCTACATCTTACTAAGGTAGTGTAAAAGAGAACTACCACGTGCAGCTGCACCAGTCTTTTCAGATGCACTGATATTGCGCAGATTACCGTGGATATCCGATATATACAAGTTTCTCCACTTTTTCTGTGCCCACGCACTGATTTGTTAGAAACAGATTTAAAAGTGCGTTTTTAAAAAGTTTTCGTGCGTAAAGTGCGTTCGGTTTTAAAAGTGCGTTTAGTTCGCACGAACCAACTATGGTTTAAATCACGTTAATCTTATGGGCGTCCTCTGTATGGGAAATAACCTGATTTTATTTGAGTTGACCGCATCAAAGCAAGTAGGACGAATAATATTGGATCCTAATTCCTAGCATTTTTATTGTATATGGAGCGACTAGAAATCTGTAATTAGAAATCGGGATTAAGTCTAAGACATTTTTCTTCGACAAAATTGAGCCTTCAGGTCTCAGGTATACTATTAATTGGATGCCAATGGCTACTCGATGGCTATAAGTGGCTACTCGATCGCTTGTTAATGACTGGTATTTGGCTTGTATAATGTATATGGTCACTACTGCTAGAAAATGGGCCGCACGCGTACACATCGTAATGGATCAACTTAATAACACCAGAATGTGTGTGTGTCTGTCTGTGTGTCTGTCTGTGTGTAATTTCCGAACGGTTATACAAAAAAAACGGTAATAGTTACGGGACTGGTTTTTTTGGTATAGTCCCGACAAAACTCTGATGAAGCCCATAAGCAAATTTTTTTTAAATCGGCCGATGGTAAGTGGTTTAATTGATGGTTTTGTACCACAAAATATGTTACATAAAATGGCTTGAGAAGAACGGCAAGAGTTACGGGGCTAGCTCTCTCTCTCTCTCTCTGCATATGTAGCGTATATACTACATGGCGTATATATTACATGGTCATATGATACTATAAACTTATTAGGGGAGGGAGTGCTCAAACGGTCTGTTTGGACTGTAGAGAGAGTTCATACTTTCATACGACAATGTAATGCATGTTCACAAATATGATAGGCTGGTGTGGTGCAGGGTTAATTTCTATTGATTATCGATTAAAAATTACTATTTTTTAAGCATACTATTGGATACGTGAGGGCACTTCGAATACAATTGCTCGCCTAATCCGGGTTTTGACTCAGCGGGTAATTACTCCTACCCTTTTTAACTGCGGCAGTGAAATCCCGGCCGTAGGCCGGGTTACACTAGTATTATAATAAACTGCTCAAGAAAACAACAATTTTGTTCCGACCTGTGAGATGTTATACGTTAGAAGTAGATTAGTAGAAGTCGCTGTATACTGTATAGTGTATCGTATACCGATTAGTTACTTATTTAAGATATTTCTAATATAAGACATCTTCAGTAATGACCTTTTTATTATTTTTAGACTCGAGAGTTCCTGGTATATTACACGAAACAAAACCTTACACCATGTTTTACGACATAATTGACGTAATAGTTTCATGGGTAAACATTTTCATCATTCACACTGACCAAGTTTCGTCGTCAAAATATTTTCTTTGCAAATAAATATGTTTTTTTTGCACTTTTTGTTATTCCTATAAGGTACGTGCTTTATGTTTAACATGAATGCTTTGACCCCTAATGATTGCACCCTTACAAATCTATTTACCAGATTTACTATCACAGTTACCGTAGAATAATAGAGTTATAATAAGACATCACATTTTCCAAAGTAGGCTTAAAATAAGACGTCACACTTTCTTCTTTTCAGAAAATGAAGGTGGTAGCAGTGCCCCAAGATACTCACGGGAAGTTTTACAGTGGAGATAGTTATATCGTTCTACATGTAAGTTAATATCGGAGGTTACTTACTTGGGTGTGTTCTTATTGTGGTACGTGTTATATGGTTCTTTGTGGTAATTAGTGGAAATCCTCTTTTTTTTTCAGTTTACATTTTATGTCAAAAAACTTTCCGTCTACGGGTTACGTTATCTCCTTAACCGATCAGATTATGTTCGAAAATGTAGGTCTGCTAGTTGCCATTAATTAGACTAATTGATAATCTTGACAGTTCTCATGAAATTGTACAGATTACCGACTGGAGGGCCCGTGATTTTTGGGACGGATAAACAGTGATTTCGCTCCATGGAAACGACATTGCACTAATTTCGAAATCACATCTAACTGCTAGATATTATCGTTTCAGTTACTGATATGATTACTCTCCGATAATAACCAAATTCCTTCCAGACGGAGCTGATCAATAATAGAAAAGAATGGCACATTCACTTCTGGCTTGGCAAAGAAACCTCCACGGTGAGCGGATTATGTCTTTATATTTAATTTATCGTATTCTTCGCTAGTAGGTAGATATCAGGAGGTAGATCTTCCAATCTGGATACAGGTTTAAGAATAAGTTTATTTGCTTCTTCAAGGCCTTCGGAAGGTAATTTTACATCGTAAGGTAAGGCCTTTCAAATCGTTTAAAAAGCTAACACGAAGAATCTTTACTTTAAAACCAAGCCGAGTGTGAAAAAATAAGAAGTTTTAAAAGTAAATTAAGGTTTAATTAGAAGTTCTACAATATACACTTATCTGAACTATACCCTAAAGTGTTCCTGTGGGGACTCTTATAATAAAGCCTTAGTAAAGCTTCAAAATCTCAGTTAATCGTCCTCAAGTCATAAAAGTGCGCGAAGTCGCTGATGCCCCTTAAAGTTAATTAATGTTTAAAAAATTGGATAATTCAGCCACAGACAGAAGATTCCAGAAAACCTATAAAAAACCACGGAGAATCGAAATATTATTATTACGTTTATATTATTTAAAAATTGTGTCTCCATGAATTAGCACTCGTGAATAAATTAAGTTAAATGTTTAATCCTGAAGGCCACCAAATTACCGATTCCTTATCAGTCAAGCGTTACAATTTTACCTATCACGATTGAATTCAGTGTTTGGTTCGTATATAAAGCTCGGATGATTTGTAATTTATAAATTACAAATCATCCGAGATTTATTTGAACCAAACACTGATAAACAAAGTCAAAATCAAGTGTCAAAATTTCCAAACTTTAGACAAGACGACACTCCGGCTCTTGTCGGCTGTTATAAGTACTCTAAAGTCAAAGTTCCAAGATATCTCTGTACCACTGCATTTGTAATCAGTTGAAACATTGTATGGCAGACAGGCTTCTTTACAAGTATCGAGAAAAATACCTAATAAAGTAATACAGTTTGTTGAAGCAAACGAAGCAAATGACTTTGCGCTGCAATTAACTCTCGGGGTTTGATTTGATTGTCTTGAAGGAGTGCTGGTTTGAGAAAATATTGAAAATGTTAAAGTCCAGTCAGATGGGGGATATGAAATAGACTGGCAGACTTGAAACAGACTCCATCTTGGGAGTTATTGATACAACATGACCGTAGTTCGATCTAACTCGTGATATCGATAAATCTATCTCATGCCGTATATCCGGCGCCGTAGCCCTATTGATTCCGTCCGTATCGCATTTCGGAAGAGATAATGGGGGCAATAGCCTTGAATGAGGGGCAATTATGTCTGTTGTAGATGTATGGAGATACAGTTAGTACCTACTTGACATTTTCAAACTCACATTGATGATAGCACAACTACCAATAAACAAGGCCAGGAGTAGAAAAGTTAAAGGCTAACGATGGTGGGTAATCTGCATAAAGATCATTTATTTACGGTATACGCTAAACTTCCAATTAGAGGGTACAACTAACCCTCCCCTTCCCTCTAGTTCGCTACACTGTAAAGTGTTTACAGGGATGAGTTATATACTTGTATGATCCGGAAATGGGGTAATCCTTTATATAGGCTATGTGCTCCACACAACAACTCTCCCCGTTTAAACTTGGTTGCCATGCGACTGCGAGATAATGGTCAAGTAAAGATTGGTAGGTCAGTTTAGTTTGAGGCTTGTGGGGGTTTGCTTATCCAATGGTACGATAGTCTACATCTAGTTACGTTCGCCGAGTAGAGAAGTAGAGGAGTAGTTAACAAATTATATATATATATTCTACATTCTACATCACAACTCACTCACTGTCCGCTCTTCGCACTCATTGGCTCAGATTCCTGCTGTAGAGTCCAGCCTAATGGGATAACTCGGCCACAACGCTTAGAACAATTGACGTAATCCTGTGAGCGGTTCAGGTATTTGAACCTCGCGTTTCGTTACAGTAGATAACTTACAAAGTTTCGTGTTGCTTGTTGCTTGTTATATATTGTGCCACAGTGTGTCTGGCTGTATATTGCTGTTTTGTAGCTCGTCATGTTCACCTCCGGGCGGAGTGAGATGGTCACCAGGATCGTGGGCGACATCAACGCCACATTGGTCAGAAAACTAGAGGATCTGGAACACAGAGTCCTGATGAGATTAGAGAACTTGCAGCGGTTCGAGGAGTCCTCTATGGGGGCACTCAGTGCTCGGGTGGACGCTCTGGAGAGAACCAGTTCCAGCCTCAGATTCCAGAACGAAATGATACAGGTTAGTGATAATTCATGATAAAATTAACATATTTCTCTTTGTGAGAGGGGTGGTTGGTATCGAGCCAACAATAACACGAGACCCCACTCCAGGACGAACTAGACGAGCTAGAGAGACTGCTCCTCCGAGAGTACGCCCAGAGCGAGATGACACGTACCATTGCTTCTTCATGTCAAAACTTAAGTTCTGGTAGGAGGAACACGGGAGAGAATTCGGGTAGGAGAAACGAGAGTTACTCAGCCAAGAAGGATGAAAAGAGGTCTAAGTCAGAGGAGCACAAGAAAAGATTCAGTAATTTCGCAGAGAAGTTTGGCAAGAGAATATTTGAGAAGGAGCAGAAGAAAAGCTCGATGATGAGAAAGTTTGCGGCTGGGTTCGCCAATAAGATCACCAACGAGAGAAGTGACGTTATGAACAAAGCAGCGACCATCGCCAAGACATGCGGCAGTCCCTACCTATTGAACCACAAGAAGAAGATGCTAAAAGCTCTGGTACTGCACATGGCTGCCAGGATATTAACGGAGCAGAAACTGGCAGTCTCGAAAGCTAGGGAGACTAAGGCTCAAGTTGAAAAACTTAACAAACTGAACAAGGAGTTCACGAAAAGTTTTGTAAAGCGGTACATGGATAAGGAGAAAGGTCCGAGTCAGTCAGGAGGAGGGGGAGCAGGGAGGGGTAGAACACGGAGTAGATGTTACTCCGATCACAGCAGCGGCAGCATGTACGATCTCAACCAGTACGCTTACACCTCCAGCAACTCTAACTTAAACTCCAGACGTCTTATCTCCCGACCTCTTCAGGTCGTCTCTCCCGATCCCTCCAACTTCAACTCTAATGTCCAGCGTCGACCCTGGTCTTCCTACGTGCCCCGCTGTAAGTCTGCTTCTCCCGAGAGGTCAAGTGGTGCAACTGGAGCTAAGTACAGGTTCCCAGCTATCAAAAAATACGCTGCTTATAACTGCAGAAAAGACAAAAACCTGATAGATCTGAATGAAAGATAGGTCCTCTATCTCGAGTCAAGAGATGGAGTATGAAATCAGTTAGGATTTATGAAGTTATCATATGGTTTTAGTTTATAAAACTGGCCCGCTTAGAGTATCATCTGACGACTTTACAGGACATTCGACAGAAAATAACTATCTGGCTGCTTCCACGACATACCGCGACCACCCTCAAACAATTTATCATCTCGATTAGTCAAAACATTCTCAATCGGACCTTTACTGATAGTTGAAATTCGACATATGACGTCATCTAGCGTCATCTAGCGTCATCTAGCGTCAAATATCGCCAGATGATGATAGATGACGCTAGATGACGCTAGATGACGCTAGATGACGCCAGCGTCATCTATCATCATCTGGCGATATTTGACGCTAGATGACGCTAGATGACGCTAGATGACGTCATATGTCGAATTTCAACTATCAGTAAAGGTCCTCTCAATCCACTTTCCATTCAAAATTCTTTTCGAATAAATTCTAAACTATTTGTTTTTCGTTGCCACCTTATAAACCTCGAACGGTAGATTCTTTTCCCTGAAAATTTATTAGATTGCCGTGAATAAATCAGAAATGTGAATTTTGACGGTATCTTTCAGTTGGAGAGGAAAAGTTTCTCTTTACTTAAGAAAGCTTCCAATAATAGTTTCTCATAATGTAAATTATTTATAAAGATTAACTTTAGCCCGTATGCAGACTGCAGAGTATACGATAAACTAACATTTACTACGTTTATTAAACGATACAATTAGTAGTGTCTATATGAGATGAAAGTTAACAAATTTAATTGTTATATCCTTAATCCTTATTGAGACCCCAGTCAGCAAGAAATGGTCCGCCTCCTCTTCATTTTCCGAATAACACGTACACCGGCCTTAATATTAATTGATTTGGTATCCGTATATCTTAAATTTTAGATTATGCTTGCTAGTCACCGGTATCCTGCACGCAAAATGCAATTAAAAAGAACTCGCTAGCCTCGCTGCCTTCAGCTTCTTCTAAATGCTTCAAATATCACGGATTGAAAGTGAATGAGTTGAACATAGGTCTAATGTGTGCGAATCGCGAAATATGATATGCTTATCTCACAACGTTTTTCCGGACCAAAGTACTTTCCACGACAATCTGTCGTAGTCAAATTGTGAAAAAGTGATTATTTTTGTCAAACTTTCCTAATAATATAATGATCATGAGGGTCTTAAACTGTGAGTCAATATAGTATGATATTAAAATTCAATCAAGTAATTTGTTAACTGCATCAATGATCCTTGAATCAGATTTTAAAGATTTGCTTCATGATTTATTGAGCGAACAGTCTTAGCTGCTTAGTAGCAAGTGGTTATAATATACTTTAAATTATTGTTGGTATTATAAGAACAGCTTGAATGTCTATTTCAGATCTATGTAATGTAAATATGTAAATATTACTTTCAATGTTCACTTTTATAAACCCACGCGTCTCCCAGTTTTCTAGAATCAGTGATCAAATCTCCATAACTCGCAAGATGAAAGAGTTGCACACTCTACTTATTAAAGGAATAACCAGTCAACATGATACACACCCACACCCCGAACAAGATATCTAACTTTACAGCTCCACAGCAACAAATATCTGTCATCAGTCACCATCAATCTGGTTCCGTCTCCCACATCAAGCCCCGCTTCAGGCTCACATTTCGGGACATGTCAAGGATCTGTGTGTTAATTACAGTAGTATGGTTATTAGTTCACGTTCCAGGCACGTAGCCAGGGGGGGGGCTAGGGGGGCGGCAGCCCCCCCCGGAAAAAATCGAACCCCAGAAAAAAGATAAGCCCCCTAGTCCCCATGGTCGCCTGGTAACTGGGCTGTGTTTATGACTGCAGTCAGTCAAAGATTTGAACTGTGGATTAGTAAATATATGTCATTAAATCCAAGCAAACATTCTAGAAGACTTCTACAATTATAGTCAATAGTGTCCCCTAGACCGTAGGAAATGTAAAAATCTTAAGACAATGAGGCCTGAGAAAGTCGTAAATTCTGATTGGAGAATGCAGATTGCTGTTGTGAAGTTACCAAATTTACGTGAGTACTTGATTCTTTTCAATCCCAGTTTATTGCTGTCCTACAAATTTCTTTAATGCCAAATGTCGTCTAAAACACCCTGTTTCGCAAAAAATTTCCGGGGGGCTGCGCCCCCCTAGCCCCCGCCAAGGGGCTCCGCCCCTGGACCCCGCTGGGGGCTGCGCCCCCAGACCCCTGCCACAGCTTGCTCGCTTCGCTCGCTGCGCAGCTTGATTGGACGCGTCGGCTCGCTTCGCTCGCCGACAGCCCCCCTCAAAGAAAAATCCTGGCTACGTCCCTGTCACGTTCATTCCTATATTATTATTAGATTATCAGGGTATTGGTGCTTAGTCTCCAGAGGAAGATAAATTGATTTCCTCATGAAGATACACAGATAAATTTCACAGTAAACATCCGAAGGTTGGGTGTTTGCAAAGAACAGATAAATTTGATAAATGGCAATTTTTCATTTATACCGTATAAAATGGCTATTAACAAAAATCTTTACCAATTGAAATTGCCACTGTTTTTGATCTGTAACAAGTCACGCTTTTACTGAGGACAAATAATCACAATTCATTAGCTTTCCCATTATTAAAGATCAGTTTAGGATCTGTGGTAAAACTACCATACAATAATTGCCAAGAACTATAAACATACAGCCTAAATATTGTATAGGACCTCTATCAGGTGTTGTAAGGCCACTTAACCTCACTTTTAATTTGTCGCAGTTACTAACTTACTAACAGAGCTATTCATAGCTCTAATTTTAACTCTTACCGTATAAGTCAGGGTTGCTAGGTTACTAAGACCTGTCAATACAGGGTTGCTAGGTTACTAAGACCTGTCAATACAGGGTTGCTAAGTTACTAAGACCTGTCAATACAGGGTTGCTAGGTTACTAAGACCTGTCAATACAGGATTGCTAGGTTACTAAGACCTGTCAATACAGGGTTGCTAGATTACTAAGACCTGTCAAATGTCAATACAGGGTTGCTAGGTTACTAAGACCAGTCAATACAGGGTTGCTAATTTACTAAGACCTGTCAATACAGGGTTGCTAGGTTACTAAGACCAGTCAATACAGGATTGCTAGGTTACTAAGACCTGTCAATACAGGGTTGTTAGGTTATTTTGTTCAGGATGAAGCGGGATGTGCAGCTATCAAATCCTGCGAGCTGGACGACTCGTTGGGAGGAGGTCCAATCCAACACAGAGAGGTCCAGGAATACGAGTCCAGCAGGTTCCAATCAATCTTCAAACAAGGAATACAGTGAGTTTCTCCAAAGTCTTTATAACTTATTGTTTAACATTTAACTAGCCAATCATCCTTCCTTGTCATTCAGTACTGCGATTCGCTGCCTTTTCCGATACGACTTGGTGGTTTCATAAAACATGCTCTTTCCTAATTACATAAACCAGAACAGTTTATAATGACGATATATCTTCCAGATACTTAGAGGGTGGGGTAGACTCAGGGTTTGTAGATATCAGCAAGTTAGAGTTCCGTAAGAAGCTGTACCACATCAAGGGTCGGAGGAAAGTGCGGATAACCCAGGCAGAAGTATCATGGAGATCTCTGAACGAGGGAGATGTGTTCGTGCTGGATTGTAAGGACACTGTTTGGTGCTGGATCGGAACTGATTGTTCCAGACTCGAGAAAATCAAGGTTTGTACGTTTGGACTGTGGGAGTTACTTTGGTGGAATGTTCCAGAATGTGCAATTGTAATAATAAAGTGTTTTTACTCCTTCTGTATTGTCCAGTAAACGGATAATGTTCATTGACAAATCTATCTGCAGACATTACAAATACCTATTACAAGTCTCCCTCTTGAAACGACGTCACGTCAATACACTTTGCTGTAATTTTCTGATTATCGAGAAATTGTAAAGTTTTCTGACGAAAGTAATGTATAACATCATTATCAGGGTATGGAGTTTGCAAGGAAGATCAAGGACGAGGAGAAACAGGGCAGAGCTACGATGGTTCTTGCTACCCCTGATGATCCACGACTCCAAGAGAAGTTCTACGACCAGGTTCCAATAATAGCATCTAATACTACTTCATGCATTGTATAGTAATCTGTACCATATATCAGGACGTTCTCAAAGTAGATTTCACAGTCCAATGCCTATTGTTCTGACAAATTCCCACTTCACGATGAGATCATGACGTCTAGTTAACATTGATTCCCCTCCCTCAGTTAAACCGAGAAGACGGAGAGAAAGTGACAATCAAATCAGCAGAGGAGGGCGGAGACGATGAGATGGCTGAAGCGGCTCCTAGAGAAATAGCTCTTTACCAGTAAATATAGCCATCATTAAAACATTAAAATCTTTCTTCGTCCTCCTTTTTTTAGATTTTAGATCAACATATTATATCCCTAATTACTTACAGCCTAAGAGCACTTGCAGTAATTTTAAAGCAAATCTCGGCCAATTGAGTATATTGTGACTCACAATTTGTGAGTAATTAAGCCTTTGTCGGTTAAATTTACTGTTGTGATAGCGTAATGATATTATCAGAGTGTGTGATGAATCCGGAGAAATAGAGATATCACCAGTGGGAAAAGCTCCCCTCGACCACGCGCACCTCTGCTCAGATGACGCCTTTATACTGGATATGGGTAACTCCGGAGTCTACGCCTGGATAGGAAAAGGAGCAACACAACAAGAGCGGAGCCAAGCCTTCATGCACGCCCAGAAGTTCATCAACGACAAGGGTTACCCATCCTGGACACCGCTGTGTAGAGTGGTGGAAGGAGCCGAAGATAACCTCTTTATGAGCTGCTTCTCCAACTGGCCCAGACCTGTTATCGAGAGACAGATATCCAAGAATGCTGTCATTCCTGAGAAGATTAAGGATCCTACTGTGGACCTGAGCGGATTATTCAAACAGCAGAGGGCTGCGGAGAAAAAGGACGATGACGTTAAGGATGATGGAAGCGGAAAACTCAAGGTAAAAAATAATTTTATCACAATTTGTAAGGTATAAAAACACTCAATTCGCTTTAAAAATCACCCGTGAAACTTCAAAAGAGTTGATTAAGCTTGAGAAAAATTATATTCCACTAGATCTGGCGAATTGAGAATTTCGAGCTAGAAGAGGTGGACGAATCAACGTACGGAATATTCTGGGACGGAGACAGTTACATAGTCCTCTACACGTACATTCAGGCTGGCAGAAATCACGAGAGTTTTTTTATCTACTTCTGGCTGGTAAGTTCTCTGAGTGTTTTCATCCTCATTCCATTATCAGGACTCTCACCCTCACTCCACTATCAGGATTCAGGACTCTCACTCCACTATCAGGGTTCAGGACTCTCACTCCACAGTCCACTATCAGGGTTCAGGACTCTCACTCTTATTCCACTATCAGGACTCTCACCTTGACTCCACTATCAGGACTCTCACTCCACTATCAGGGTTCGCACTCTCACTCTCACTCCACTATCAGGACTCTCACCCTCACTCCACTATCAGGAATCAAGACTCTCACTCTCACTTCACTATCAGGACTCTCACTCTCACTTCACTATCAGGGTTCAGGACGGGGGGAATGCAACGTCAATTAATGTCAGTATTCCATGAAAACCCCAAACTGACATTGACATTAATTGACATTAATTGACATTAATTGACATTAATTGACATTAATTGACATTAATTGACATTAATTTGTCTTGAAATTTGAGATTATCATTATTCGATAAATATTCAAGATATTCACGTCTATGTAAGTTAGACCGGTTCAAAAAAACAAAATGTCCTTGAATAATTATGAGTATGTTCTTATCTGTTGATCCTTAGGTTTAAAGACCACCAAAAAAATTTCAGCTTCCAACTCTTCCATCTTCGGTCCCCACCGGCCACGCCCATATTTTATTGGTTTCTTATACAGTGCAGGTAAAATATCTAGAATCGGCTTTTTTAGTATGAATGAGTAATGTTAGCTGTTTAAGATTCGTTATTCAAATATAAATGTCATGAAGGCATTTCGTTTAATGTTGGTTTTAAGTTCTGATGATGTTGAGAACCACGCCCTTGGATGGCCACGCCCATTTAAGAAAATTAAATTTCGGAAAACCGTATTATTTTAGTTTTATTGTTTAATGATCTGAATTTTTTTCACATTTCACATTTCCATATGTGATAGTAGTGAATAAATTGATGATATAAACGTTCTAAAGTGCTAAAAATATGGTAGAACTACATAATCTCTGGTCGAAAAATATCGTGTCAATTAATGTCAGTATTCCAAAATTTTGCAAAACTGACATTGACATTAATTGACATTAATTGACATTAATTGACATTAATTGACATTAATTGACGTTGCATTCCCCCCTTCAGGACTCTTACTCCACTATCAGGGTTCTCACTCCACTATCCAGGTTCTCACTCCACTATCAGGACTCTCACTCCACTATCAGGACTCTCACTCCACTATCAGGGTTCTCACTCTCACTCTCACTCCACTATCAGGACTCTCACCCTCACTCCACTATCAGGAATCAAGACTCTCACTCTCACTTCACTATCAGGACTCTCACTCTCACTTCACTATCAGGGTTCAGGACTCTTACTCCACTATCAGGGTTCTCACTCCACTATCAGGACTCTCACCCCACTATCGGGTTCTTACTCTCACTCTCACTCCACTATCAGGACTCTCACCCCACTATCAGGGTTCTTACTCTCACTTTCACTCCACTATCAGGGTTCTCACAGTACGACAGATGAGAGGGGAGCAGCAGCACTGCACGCTACAAAGATTGACAGTGAGGTGGGCTGGTCATCTCAGATGGTAAGGGTAGTACAAGGCAAGGAACCTCTCCATTTCCTCAGATGTTTCGGGAGGAGGATCACTATACTTCAGGGTGGTGTTGATAGTGGGTTTAAGCAGACCTCATCAGAAGAGACGAACGGACACGAAAGTGAGTTATTTAACCGCATTTACTGCTTCGTAACTTTCTGTTACATTTTCTCAAACTTATCTAATCAAGTTCGTGTATAGTGCTAGTCGAGATAGATGTATTATCAAGGATACGTCAGAAATCGGCATATTATTATCATTTCTATAATTCAACCATTTGATTAAACATAATATTATTTATCCAAGCTAAACTCCTTCCCAATTTCAGGCACAAAATCCCGCCTCTTCCACATAAAGTGTATAGACGAGTACGTGAAGAGTATAGAGGTTTTCTGTAAAGCAGAAAGTTTGAACAGTAATGACTCTTTCGTTTACCTGGGACAGTATAAGACATACATCTGGTACGGCAAGGTAAGCACTCTACTCACACCTTTCCAACTTTCCAGTATTGTTAACTAACTTTCTGTTGATGCTTTCGTTTGTTGACACTATAGATGTAACTAATTTGACACTAAAGATGGCTTTCTTACTCTCAATGATCCCCTATTACACTCTCATAATTTTCAGGGATGTGATGCTGAAGAGAAGTTTACTGCTAAAATGTTATCAGAAAAGTTGGACAGGCAGAGTCTTATCGGAGCCTCACCCTTATCAGGTCCGTTGTTTACTAGCTTAGTTTGAGAACAAATTTATCATATATTGTTACTCTGACAAAATAATGATTAGTCCACCCTGGCACGAAAATGGACTAATCTATCAAAAAACGCGATGAATTTTCGAGGTAATTTGGTTAATTGTTGCTCTGGCAGGAAGTTTCAGGTAAGTTGTCATTGGGCAGATCTGGCTGGTAATGGGTAAAACAGTTTCGTATTATATAAGACTATCGGTATGCCCATCCTCCGGACTATTATTAGTTCTCCTTTGAAAATAAAACAAAATTCAAACCACCTAGTTGGGGCTTGAACACTCCATTTCGCGTCCTCCATAATATAAAGTTGAATGCGGATATACTAACATTAGCCACATACATAGCCAGTAGCCACATATCCACATACAAATTCAGTGACTTCATAGGTCACGGTGCATTGTAAGGGATAATATTGGTCCAATCCTTTGCAAAATAGGTCCAACCTTGGTTTCATGTTGTCAATTATAAGCACCTGCTCGTATATCAGGAATATTGTGAGATCTTAAGATTAATGTAGCTAACTTAAGTAACCAGCTGAAACTCTACAGAATATTGTGAGATCTTAAGATTAATGTAGCTAACTTAAGTAACCAGCTGAAACTCTACAGAATATTGTGAGAACTTAAGATTAATGTAGCTAACTTAAGTAACCAGCTGAAACTCTACAGAATATTGTGAGATCTTAAGATTGATGTAGATAACTTAAGTAACCAGCTGAAACTCTACAGAATATTGTGAGATCTTAAGATTGATGTAGATAACTAAGGTTATCTATCGCAATAATTTTGAAGGCAATATCTATTTTAAATAGCCTGGGTTGATATTATATATCGGCTGGTCTTTCTCAAGAGATGAATTAACATTTGTACTTACTTCACGTATATAATTTAATTTCTTTACATCATGTATATTGTATAAGTTTTCATTTTTTATCGAGAAATGAACTTGATGGTACGGCCGGATGTGTTAATATTCGAAAGATATGCAAAATTGTGAAATATTAGTAATTTTTAAGGGTTTCTTCTCTGTGCTGACTAGAAAGGATAACCTCATAATATTACGACAGAAATTCACAAATTCAATGTGACGGATCAAAGAAGATAAAATTTTAAAACATAAGATTATTTTGGGAGTACTTAACTATTTTAGTGTAAAGACTATTCTGATACACTAAAATGTACATAATGGTCACATTTATATACAACTTATGAAACAATATAAACCCTCAGAAATGTGGCTGAAAAACGGATTTTTGCCGAGGGAACAATGACAATATTAACAAATGGGCTATTGGACTGTTAACTAGAAAGGTCCTAAAAACTCATGTAATGAGCAGCAAGATGACTCACTTTGTGTCCAGAAACACCTAAAAAAATTGGAGAATGATCTACTTTATTGGGTATCTCTCTTAATGGGCCTGGCCAGCAGCATATTTGTATCTTACGAAAGGGCGATTTTTCAAAATTACGGTTTCTTTAGTAAAGGTCAAAGTAAAGGTCAAAGCTGCTAACAGCTAATTGTTCGCAACATATACTCAAAAACGCTCAGTTTAGGAGTGATTAGTAAATAAGTTTAACTACTGCATGATTTGTGAAAACTCCAACAATTTTTCATCGGCACCAATACAATTTAGCCTCAACATATTATACTCAAAAACTGAGCGTTTTTGAGTATATGTTGTGCATGAGTCGGCAATTGCGAACAATTAGCTGTTAGCAGCTGACCCTTTGACCTTACTTTGACCTTTACTAAAGAAATCTTATTTTTGAAAAATCGCCCTTTCGTAAGACACAAATATGCTGCTGGCCAGGCCCATTAAGAGAAATACCCAATAAAGTAGATCATTCTCCAATTTTTGTAGGTGTTTCTGGACACAAAGTGAGTCATTTTTGCTGCTCATGAGTCTTTAGGACCTTTCTATTTAACAGTCCAATAGCCCATTTGGGAATATTGTCATTGTTCGCTCGGCAAAAATCCGTTTTTCAGCCACATTTCCGAAAGTAAGCCTTTTAGGGTATATATTGTTTCATAAGTTGTATATAAATGTGACCATTATGTACATTTTAGTGTATCAGAATAGTCTCTACGACCTTCTTATGCGGAAATGTCAAAAATCACGGAAATTATGAACTGCGTCAAGCCAAAAACCGTTTTTCGGCCATATTTCCGAAAAGAAGTATTTTAAGGTATACATTGCTTCATAAGTTGTACATAAATATGGCTATTAGGCACATTTTGGTGTATGAGAATAGTCTCTTCTACGTTTCTGGGCTGAAAAACAAAAATTCGAGTGACTGCGAAACCCTGAAAAAGGGTGTGGCCGAAAACACCCGTATTGCATTTAGTTCAAAAATGCAATAGAGTCAAAATCTTTTAAGCATCATCTAGAGAGGTGATAACCGTCGAGAAATCGCTTTTAACACAAAAAGCTAACGAGTTTCCCTTTCGTCTCGGACTAAAGTATAGAAAATGAGTAGGTTACAAAAATTTTAAACATATTACCGAAAGTTGTACTGAGATGTAAATTATTCTGTGATTTTAAATAAGCAGGGTAAATATACTATCAGTTTTACAGGCGTCACAAGTAATGACTGTAATTCTGCTGCGATCCAAGTCATTTAAAAACTAGGACGTGCAGAGCCTTCAGATTTTGGAGACTGGAAGAACTTTATCATTATGTATCATATTCTAATTTTGTAAAATGCGCTACAATGCAGTCTAATGAGGTTTAACCTACTTCCACAGTGAACACTATCGAGATAGAAGAAGGAAATGAACCGGATGAATTCTGGGAAGTGTTGGGAGGCAAGGCCGAGTATGCGAGTGGAGCAGAACTGGAGAATTTCGTGAACGAGCGACCACCCAGACTATTCCAGCTCAGTAACGCTTCAGGGACCTTCTCTGTGGAGGAGATCTACAACTTTAACCAGGATGACCTTATCGAGGATGATGTGATGTTATTAGATATTGGTAACACGGTGAGTTCAACCTTATCAAAACGACAGTTAAATGTCCGATTCTTCAATACGATATATTTTCCAATGAGGCTGATAACATAAGCCTTAATCCTTTTTAAATCTTAAGTACAAATAAACTTATTTAATTCAGCTGTATGTTTGGGTCGGCAAAGGAGCAAATGAAATAGAGAAGAAGCAGAGTCTAATTGCAGCAAAGGAGTTCATTAAGAACGACCCATCGGGTAGATCTGAGGCGGATGTGGACATGTTCGTCGTAAAAATGGGATTCGAACCACCAAAGTTCACTGGTCATTTCCAAGCATGGGATCCTAGAAAATGGGCGGTAAGTCATTTAAAGTTTGACTCCTTGTTAATAAGGAATCTTTTTGCTTCAACAACTCCTGTAAATATCATAGAAAATCATAACAATTCATGGAATTAGTTTCGCTTTCTTATATCTTTCGGTTTTCGACCCCTTTAAGTTTATCGGACACTCACAGGACTGGGATCCTTCAATTTGGACGGTAAGTTTTTTTGGTGCTAGTTCTACTGTACAGTAAACATCCTTTTTCTACATCTCCATTCTCCCGCATGAGAGAGCCTGTACTTACTATTGTCCGTGTCGTTTCACCTTCAGTTTGTCGTTCCAATTTCTGTACTGTTCCACTTTTTATATCATTACACTTTCTGTATTTCATTTCACTTTTTGTATTTCGTTTCACGCTCTGTTTATTGTTTTACCTTTTGTGACGTCTCTCTTTTCTGTGCCTCGTTTCAGTTTCCGCAATCGGTTATATTGAACTTCCCATAATTTCAGGCTTGGGATCTTTCAATTTTATCTCTTTTGTGCTACCCTAGGGACAATCTTTTTCTACGTCTCTGCATGACAGAGTCTTACGTCTTACCGTTTGTCGTTTCGCCTTCACTCTTCAGTGTTGGCTTTCCTTCTTGTGTCACTTTCCGTAATTTTTTCTGTTTCTGTTTATTTACCGTCTCAATTTTTGTCCATCGTATCATTTTCTGTTGATCGTGTCACGTGTTTACACTTTACTTTCAGTGCCGTTTATTTTTCTGTGCCTCAATTCACAAGTTGTTACTTGTCTTGCTTTGTATCTTTCTTTATCTTAAATTTTTTGTAACGTATCGCTCTTCTATACTTCGTGTCTGTGTATGTAGAATGAAGAACTAATTTTGATTGGGTTGATTTTTTTTGTAAAACCTGGCTTAACTAGAAAAGTCTTGTTTTGATTTTTTCAACCAACTTCCATTTGTGTAAGTGAGACAGATAGATGCTAGCAATCATTGGTAACAATTGCTGATTGAACGTTGTACTTGTATACAAGTCAACCCTTTTATAAAATCAACCCTTTTATAAATTTGAACATTTACCAATGAACTGTTATTATATATATAGCTCTATTATGAACTGCAACTAAGAAAACATCCACCATAGGGCGGAAAGACGTACGAGGAGATTGTGGCGGAGCACTTTGGAGGAGACGCTAACGGCGTCTCCAGTCTCAATGACGAACTTGCAAAATATTCTAAAAAATATCCCTTCGAAATACTGTGCAAGAAAATCGTGCCAGAGGGAGTGGACGTTGTCAATAAGGAGCGATATCTGGACGATGATGACTTTTTGGAATTGTTTGGAATGACGCTCGCTGATTACGAAGCTTTGCCGCGTTGGAAACAACTCAGGGCCAAGAAAATGGTTAAACTATTCTGAGTGATATGTTGCAGACACCAAGGACCACTATTGAATCAGTTAGAGTCCGAGTAGCCATCAAGAGTTGGTTGTTAACAAAATATTGGATATATTCAGAAGATACGATAAGACATGTTTGAGATTCATTTATCGATAGCGGAATTCGGCGAGCATGTCTCACATCAGATTTTCCAAGTAACAGTATGAGTAATAAATAATGTGCATTATAAAGGGGGGGGGGGGGGGGGGTGACATGTCTCCAATGTCTCCCGCACCTTATCTTTTCGAAAAAGACAAAGACATTGGAGACATTGGAGACATTGGAGACATTGGAGACACAGCTTTTGGAGACATTGGAGACATTGGGGACATTGGGGACATTAGGGACATTAGAGACACAGCTTTTGGAGACATTGGAGACATTGGGGACATTGGGGACATTGGGGACATTGGAGACATTGGGGACATTAGGGACATGAAATGGATATTAGGGGCATTGGAGACATTGGAGACACAGCTTTTGGAGACTCCTCCTCCTCCTCCTCCTCCTCCTCCTCCTCCTCCTCCTCCTCCTCCTCCTCCTCCTCCTCCTCCTCCTCCTCCTCCTCCTCCTCCTCCTCCTCCTCCTCCTCCTCCTCCTCCTCCTCCTCAGTCCTCCTCAGTCCTCCTCAGTCGTTCTCCTCCTCCTCCTGAGTCCTCCTCCTGGGACCTGGGTCCTCCTCCTGGGTCCTCCTCCTGGGTCCTCCTCCGGACTTCCTGGGTCCTCCTCCTCCTGGGTCCTCCTCCTCTTCATCCTCCTCCTCTTCCTCCTCAATCATCAGTCCTCCTCAATCCTCCTCCTCCTCCTCCTCCTCAGTCCTCCTCCTCCTCCCTGTCAGTCATCCTCCTCAGCCAATCTCCTCAGTCCTCCTCCTCCTCCTCAGTCCTCATCCTCAGTCCTCCTCTTCAGTCCTCCTCCTCCTGGGTCCTCTTCATCCTCCTCCTCTTCCTCCTCAGTCCTCAGTCCTCCTCCTCATCCTTCTCGTCAGTCCTCCTCCTCCTCAGTCCTCCCCAGTCCCCCTCCTCCTCCTCCTATTCAGTCTTCCTCCTCCTCTTCCTATTCAGTCCTCCTCCTTCTCATTCCTCCTAAGTCCTCCTCCTGAGTCCTCCTCCTCTTCCTCCTGAGTCCTCCTCCTGGTTCATCCTCCTCCTAGTTCCTCCACCTTCTCCTTCTCCTCCTCAGTCCTTCTCATCCTGCTCCTCCTCCTCAGTCATCCTCTTCAGTACTCCTCAGTCCTCCTCCTTCTCAGTCTTCCTGAGTCCTCTTCCTGAGTTCTCCTCCTCCTGAGTCCTCCTTCTGGGTCCTCCTCCTCCTAGGTCCTCCTCCTTCTCCTCCTCAGTCCTACTCCTCCTCCTCAGTCCTCTTCCTCCTCCTCCTCCCTCTCAGTTATCCTCCTCAGCCATTCTCCTCAGCCATCCTCCTCAGTCCTCCTTAGTCCTCATCCTCCTCCTCAGTCCTCCTCCTCCTGGGTCTTCCTCCTCTTCATCCTCCTCAGTCCTCAGTCCTCCTCCTCATCCTTCTCGTCAGTTTTCTTCATCCTCAGTCCTCCCCAGTCCCCCTCCTCCTCCTCCTCCTATTCAGTCCTCCTCCTCCTCAGTTCTCCTCAGTCCTCTTCCTTTTCAGTCCTCCTGAGTCCTCCTCCTCCTCTTCCTCCTGAGTCCTCCTCCTGGGTCCTTATCCTCCTAGGTCCTCCTCCTTCTCCTTCTTCTCAGTCATTTTTCTCCTCCTCCTCCCTCTCAGTCATCCTCCTCAGTCATCCTATTCAGCCATCCTCCTCAGTACTCCTCAGTCCTCCTCCTTCTCTGTCCTCCTCAGTCCTCTTCCTGAGTCCTCCTCCTAGGTCTTCCTCCTCTTCATCCTCCTCAGTCCTCCTCCTCAGTCCTCCTCCTCATCCTTCTCGTCAGTCTTCTTCATCCTCAGTCCTCCCCCAGTCCCCCTCCTCCTCCTCCTATTCAGTCCTCCTCCTCCTCAGTTCTCCTCAGTCCTCTTCCTTTTCAGTCCTCCTGAGTCCTCCTCCTCCTCTTCCTCCTGATTCCTCCTCCTGGGTCCTCATCCTCCTAGGTCTTCCTCCTTCTCCTTCTCCTCAGTCCTTCTTCTCCTCCTCCTCCCTATCAGTCATCCTCCTCAGTCATCCTCCTCAGCCATCCTCCTCAGTACTCCTCAGTTTTCCTCCTTCTCTGTCCTCCTCAGTCCTCTTCCTGAGTCCTCCTCCTCCTCCTCCTGAGTCCTCCTCCTGGGTCCTCCTCCTCTTGGGTCCTCCTCCTCCTAGGTCCTCCTCCTCAGTCATCCTCCTCAGCCATCCTCCTCAGCCATCCTCCTCAGCCATCCTCCTCAGCCATCCTCCTTAGCCATCCTCCTCAGTACTCCTCAGTCCTCCTCCTTCTCAGTCCTCCTCAGTCCTCTTCCTGAGTCCTCCTCCTGAGTCCTCATCCTCCTCCTTCTCCTCCTGAGTCCTCCTCCTGGGTCATCCTCCTCCTAGATCCTCCTCCTTCTCCAATCATACAACTACGTCTCCAGTGTCTCCAATGTCTCCAATGTCTCCAAAAGCTTTGTCTCCAATGTCTCTTATGTCCCCAATGTCTCCAATGTCTCCAATGTCTCCAAAAGCTGTGTCTCCAATGTCTCCAATGTCTCCAGGACATGTCTCTGCACCCTATCTTTTCAAAAAAGACAAAAGACATTGGAGACATTGGAGACATGTCACCCCCCCCCCTATAAATAAAGTTTTCTTATACCGGGATGTTTTGACATCTGATCGAATTGATGATGATATCTGTTCCACTACCCAATTTGTATCGCTTTTGTAAAACAAAACTATGATGGTAAAACACGGAAGTATATGAATATAACTATTGAAGTAGAGGATGTTTTCTCTGCAGTAGAACCCCGGGTCGCGGGAATAGAACATCACTCTTGTTACTGTTTCCAGATATTGAGCATTCAGGGAGATACGCTACACACCTCAGTCGATATTTTACACTTGATTTTATTTCAAAGGTGAACGGAGATCTTATTGTTGTGTGTGGCACCATTTTATTGATTGCCATTTTGCATGACTCGTCTTTTCCATTGTGTGGCTCTAAATGAGAATTTGAATTGAGCGTTAAATTGACTTTGTTAAGTTCCATTTTAATAACTGGGCGGAACTGAAAATTATATTTAATTTTATGTTCGTGATTTTTAATTCTGGACAGCTATTTTAACAGTAAAATGTTAGTTTTACAATTTTTACATTTTAACCAATTATAAAGCATCTTACTATATATAAAGCGAGACGATATATATAGGTATATATTGATATTATTATTTTACTGACATCACGGCATCAACTGATCAACTTTAACACGACGTTCCGCAAAAAACCGTAAAAGATATAAAACTGAAACTTTTTGACTTGGTCAAATGCCTTAATGGCCTTAAATCAGCAGGAAAAATTAAAAAATTGGCCAAGGAATAAGAATTTTAGTGCCCAAAACTTAGACCCCCAAGTGGTGTCAAAAACGCGAATTCATATCAGAGGTTGCTAGAAAAATGTAAAATTATAAGGTACTGGTGGTAGCTGGGTAGAGTTGGCATGGAGTTAGCAGAAGGTATCCAGAAGTAGAACTAGATTCTGCTACATGAGGTTGGATTCGAGTTGATTAGCCATAAAAGCCAAGCAGTACTGGAGAGCTCCAGAGAGGGAGCTGAAGTTAAGTGGTATGTGCTGCTCCATAAATGTTATCCGAATGTATTCATGTTGAACGTTTTACTGTGCTGCAAATGTATCTCAGACATTTTTAGCCCGAGATACCATAATTAAGTACATGTTTGATGTTAATTTTTTATGATGCATGAAGGTTTAATAAACAGTTTTTAATGAATTTCTAAAAACTAAACACTATATACGAATACCCTGTGTTGCTTTATAGTTTGTACATAAATGTGGTCATTGCAGTTAGTTCGAACTACTAATACTAATAGAATTTGCGTACCTTATCAATTCTGATGCAGAATGACCCTACAAAGGATCATGTGTTTATAAACGTTGTAGACACTGAACTTCATACCTAATTTCACTTAATTTCTAGAGTAGATGTTTTACTCGCGCCCAAGTAAAAATCAGTTTTTCTGAATTTTTTCCAAAAATAAGCATTTTGGGCTTTCATGACCTTCACAGTGCCAATATAAACATGTGCATTGCGGTCATTTTAAACTCAATTTTGAGTCTCTAAGACCATAGTAAGGGGAAAAGTGGCATTCCGTTGGATTCGAATGTTCACAAGGATTTCTCAACGGAATATGGTAGTTAGGACCCCTACGAACATAATTAGACTTGTTGCCAATTTTGTATCTCAACGGAAACACCACTTTTACCACTTTTTACCACCTTTGTACCACCTTTCTGGTTTGCCAAATATCTTTAGTTGTGAACATCATAGAAGGCTGCAAATTAACCTAGAATGTTTATCTTATCAAGGAGTAAAACTTTTGTATGAAAAATTTTTACATCGGACAATCAGCTAATTGGATAATTACCAATTAGTTAATCACCAAAAAAAGTGAAAATTTTTTATTGGCTTAAAATGATTGAAATCGTTTGAAACACGGAGAAATGTAGTTTTTAGAAAAACTTCAAAACTTTTTCACTTAAAATATTTTTTCGAGACTTTCGTTTGAAAATTTGAAAATATTTTTTCCGCCAAAAGTGATCGAATTGCATGAAACGTGGATAAAAATGCTTTGCAGAAAAACTTCGAAGATTTTTAGATTGGGGAATACTAAAATCATCAACATTTGAAGTTGGAGTTCAGTAAATCTCGAAATATTTTAGTAATTAGGAATAGCTTAGCGGAAAGGGCTGGACCTGAAAAAGGTTAACCACACAATATTAGAGTTTCATAACTAATTACAATACAGCTTTATCAAATTCCACATAAAGAAACAGCACAAAAGGACCATTTAAGATCGAACCGATTTTACCTGCTGTACTATCATTTTATTGATTTCAATGATCAAAACCTCTGTCAATCTTGCCAATCTATACCGGGTATGAATGTACCGGACCTCTTATTTACCTCTATAATTAGACCCAGTTGTGCAAGAAATGCGATTTCTCACAGGGGTTTCTTTAAACTGTGCACTTTTTGTCACTCTCGCAACTCGCAAGAGGCCTGGTATTATAGGGGGGGGTATAGGAAGCGAG